CGACAGACATAGACATATCAACATAATACATAAAAACAAAGTGACAGAGATAAGATCACAGATAGATAGAAAAGATAAAACGATATACATATACAGAATAACAGTGAAAAAGACAAACAGATTACACAGAAAAAAGAAAACGACAGAGATACAAGAGAAAACAACAGACAGACACAGTCATCTTCTCTATCGATTATTTTCTGACAGACAAACAGAAAAGAGAAAAGGTGAGACAAAAGAAAACAACAGACAGACAGAAAACAGGACAGAGATAAATAAAAGAAAACAACAGACAGACAGAGATAAGAAAAAAATGACAGACGAGAAAACGACAGACAGAGGGATGAGAAGACAACAGACAAGAAAAAATGACAGAGGAGAAAACGACAGACAGAAAAGGGAAAAGGAGAGATAAAACAACAGACAGACAGAAAAAAGAATGACAGACAAACAGAAAAGAACAATAAACAGAGACAGATAGACAAGAAAACAACAGACAGACAAGAAAAAACGACAGAGATAGACAGACAGACAAGAGAAAATGAGAGACATAGACAGAAAAAAGAAAACAGACAGACATACAAAACAGAAAAGAGAAAATGACAGATAGACAAGCAGACAAAGACAAAAACAAAGTGACAGAGATAAAATGACAGATAGATAGAAAAGATAAAATGTTAGACAAACATATACAGAAGAAAAGAGAAAGACAATCAGACAAACAAAAAAAGAAAACGACAGACATACAAGAGAAAACAACAGACAGACAAACATACAGACAGAAAAGAGAACAACAGACAGACAGAAAAGAGAAAACAACAGACAGACAGACAGACAGAAATGAGAAAACAATAGACTGGCAGACAGACATAGAAGAGAAAACTACAGACAAGTGAAAATGACAGCCAGATAGCCAGGAAAGATAAAAGGAGAGAGAGAGAGAGAGATAAATTAAAAAAAACAACAGACAAGAAAAAATGATATACAGATAGAAAAGAGACAACAACAGACAGACAAAAATAATGACACAAATAGAAGAGAAAACTGACAAACATACAGATAAAACAAGACAGATAAGAAAAAAACGACAGACAGATAAAACAGACAGACAGATAAGAGAAAAAGGTGTAAGAGAAAAAGAGAAAAAGGTGGAGTGAACTGAATGCATATTTCAGCTCAAGATTCATGATGCGCACTACATTAATGACGATGTGAAACTTTGAATAAACAGCAAGCGATACGAACAGAGCGCCTGGAGCCAGTCCAAATAAATAATTCATAATAACACATGAAAAGCGTATTAGCGCACTGATGGGTTTGAACTTACAATATGAACACAATAGCTTTCATTATCAATGCATATATTAGAAACGTTCAAAATATCTCAACGATTAATATTTCAGGTTAAAACTACAGATGGAAGTTTAAAGACATTTGTTTTTCTGGGCTGTCAGCAACTCATTGTTTTTGTAAAAGCCAAAGCCAATTAGATTGAAGCCAGTGGATGTTTTTTACCCAGGGGAGGATTGCATTTAATCCAGGCTTTAGAGAGAGGTCTATCTGAACACAATCTCCAGATTAAAAATACAAGCGTTTAATTCAGGACTCTCTTTCACAGCCCATCCACACTACAATTCAATCAGTATAATAGAGCCCAGTTATTAATGCACATACAGCGCCCTGCTTTACGCACTTCTACATACTGATTGATTGGAATTATATAAACTCTTTCATGCTGTTTATAGACATGCATCATCACATTATGCTCATGTGATAGTGTGGATGGTGAAGGCCTTTTATTTTACTCTCTACAGATAAAATCATGACTTCTCAAATCCATTATGAAAGGTGAACTGAAGTGCGTGTTGCTTAAATAAAAAAAGCAACCATTCCTTGGTGTCATTTTATTTTAATTATATACATCTATTACCAATTAGGGTTGTAACAATATACCGGTATGACGGTTTACCACGATTTGAACGTGCACGATTATCATACCATGAACAATTGCATATCAACGGTTTTAACCCTTAAAGACCAAGACAGCTGCCCGCGGCTAAAAATAAGTATTGCTCTTAAATGTTTAATAACTTTTGATCCGCTGATCCGATTCATACAATTCAAAGATTGGCATAAAGAAGAGAATCTCAGCTTTCCAGTGCTGTATCACATAACAGAGGCTCCGGAATCAGTGCGGTTACCTCATCAAAATTTGACAACGCTGATTTGACAAAGAAACGCTCGTCACTGTGTCTCCGGACAAATCAGACATGATACATTGATGCATTGTCCCTCCTCCATGCCCAGATTGGTTCAAACTCGCTATATCACAACCAATAAGCATAGGTTTCGCTTTTGTTTGTTTTTTTTTTTTTTTTTTTTTTTTTTTCCAAACAAACTTTTATTTAGAAAAGAAGAAATTTACAATATAACTCAGGAAGTAATTTGTACAAGACTGGAATACAAGAATATACAATTACAAAGTTATAAGAATAATAACTAAAAAGAAAGGAGTAATAGAAAGAGAATAAAAAAAGAGAACGAAATGAGGAAGGGGCAGGTACAAAATAAAATAAAAAATAGATAAATAAAAAAAAAAAAAAAATAGCAATAATTACAGAAAGCAATAATTATTTACACACTGGAAGCATGACATTTTCATAAGTTTCTATTAACTTGCAGAATTTCTTGTTGTTAGATAGACGAATAGCTTTAAGTATGGAATCAATTTCAATTAAAAAATGGGCAAACGAGGGAGAGGATTTCAGAAATTTTTGTTTGTGGATGAAGAATTTAGCATATAATATGAAGAAGTTATATATATATTCTTCATTTTTGTTCTTGGGATTAGAGTAATAACATATAATTTCTTTCAGTTTAAAAGTTTGTTTTGTTGCTTGGGATTTATTCAAATAATTATATAAATCAGACCAAAACTTTTGTGAAGTTTTACAAGAAAAAAACATGTGAGTCAGAGTTTCCTCATTTTCCTGACAAAAGGAACAAGTATCTGCAATATCAGTAAATTTTGAGACTAATGCATTGACCGGGTATATTTTGTGTAGAATTTTAAAATGTATTTCCTTTGCTTTGTTTGGGATTACATATTTATATGGGAGAAGCCATGTTCTTTTCCAATTAATGTCCTCTATTAATGCTGACCAATATGATTTCCCTCTTGGAGCAATTTGATTTTTTTGTTGGAGAATTCGAAGGATAAGTTTGTTGTTGCACTTCTTATCATATACACTAATACCTTCTAATAATAAGGAGGGTTCTATGGTTTTTTTATTTATATACAAAATATGATTTTTTGTTAGATGTATTAATTCTTTTGGGATAGCATTTACAATTATGTTAAACTTCTTGAATGGTATTGGAAATTGATGAATTTTCATAAACTGCTCATAAGTTAACAAGTTCCCAAAGTCATCAAATAAGGAAAATACATGTAATATATCTCTGTCATACCAATTGGAATAAAATAAGGATTTACTTTTAACTGTAATATCAGTGTTGTTCCATAAAAATGTTTTATGCGGAGAAAAGTTATGAGAGTAGCATATTTTCCAAGCCAGTAATGCTTGCTGGTAAAAATTTGTTAATTTTATAGGAAGTTTATTTGGAGCAAAATTACATTTCAAAATAAATGGGAGACCGCCAATTTTATTAAACCAATAATTGGGAATAAAGAACCATATTGAATTTGAACTAGTTAAACATCTTTTAATCCAACTGACTCTGAAAGAATTTATAGAATTATTTATATCAATTGCTTCTAATCCTCCTTTGTCTTTGTTAAGTGAAATTAATGCCTTTTTTAATTTATGAGACTTATTTTTCCAAATAAAATCAAAAAATAATTTATTTATATCTTTTTTAATTTTATCATTAACAGTTAAGGATAATAAAGGATATACTAGGCGGGAGAGACCTTCAGCTTTTGATATAAGAACTCTACCGTAAATGGATAGATCCCTTTGTAGCCATAGATTTAGGATATTCTGAGTTTTTTTTATTCTAGAAGAAAAATTTAGTTTTTGTCTCTCTAAGTTATTTTTATTAATATATATACCTAAATATTTAACCGTTTTTTTTACTGGTATACCATTTAATATCAAGTCATTGCAATCATACAGAGTAAAGATTTCACATTTATCTAAGTTTAAATGAAGACCCGAAGCATCCGAAAATGTTTTTATTGATTTTATGGCATCGTTAATTTGATAACTGTCTTTTAAAAATAAAGTGGTGTCGTCCGCCAGTTGAGAAATTTTTATTTCTCTTTCAAAAATATTTATGCCTTTTAAGTCTTGGTTATTAATAAGAGATATAGAGAGTAATTCTGTAACTAAACAGCCCTGGCGGACGCCTCTTTCTAATGTAAATCTTTGAGATGTAAACATGTTAATAATAATAGAACTGGATATATCTTTATAAAACATCTCTATTACATTAATGAATGTTGAGCCAAAGCCAAATTTTTTGAGAGAGTGTAAAAGAAATTTATGTTCTATTGTATCAAACGCTTTGTAGAAATCAAGAAAAAAAATTATAGCTTTAGATTTAATAAAATCTGCATAATCAATTAGATCCAAGACCAATCTTATATTGTTACTAATATGTCTACCATTTAAGAAGCCTGATTGAGATTCTGTAATCATAAGATTTAATTTAGTTTTTAATCTGTTAGAAAATACCAATGCTAATATCTTATAATCTACTGTTAATAATGTAATGGGTCTCCAATTGTCAATTAAAAGTGAATCCTTTTCTGGTTTTGGTATTAACGATATGATTCCTTGTTTCATAGTAGTTGACATTTCTTTTTCAGCAATACATTCATTATACAGCATTAATAATATGTCTTGTATTAAGTACCAGAAGTGCGTATAAAATTCTACAGAGAACCCATCAATACCTGGGGATTTATTTTTTTTCATAGAGAATAGAGCAGTCTGTATTTCTTTTTTTAGTTAAATCATCATCACAAAAGTTGGCAAAATCTTCATCAATCATGGGTATGTGTGTATCAATTGTGTGAAAAAATTCTTCACATTTATAAGCATCAAACTTCGATGAGTAAAGATTTTTATAAAATGCGGCCACGAAAGATGAGATTTTACAAGGATTTGTACAGGTTGAGCCCTCAATATTAAGAGCAGTAAGCGAATTTCTTTTATAATTTCTTTTCTCTAGTGCAAAAAAATAACTTGAGTTAGTTTCACCCTCTTCAAGCCATTTAGCTCTTGATCTGATATAGAAACCTTTAGCTAGGTCTAAAAAAGCATTGTCTAATTGAGCGTTTAAACTTTTTAAGAGCAAATCTTCATTAGGGGTCAACTTTTTTTGCAATAGTGAATTTATTTTGTCTAAAAGGTTTTGAATGTTTTTATTTTTGTTTTTTTTAAGTTCTTTACTTCTTTTAATTGCTATTTGTCTAGCTTTATATTTGAAATATTCCCATTTACTTTTACAATTAATAATAGGTAATTCAGAAAAATTATCTGCAAAAAGCTCTTTTATTTTGTCATTGAACAACTTATCTTTAAGTAATGAGTTATTAAATTTCCAATAACCTCTCAATTTAGAGTTGTTACCTGTATTACATAGCAATTGTAATTTAACCAATTTATGATCAGTTAAAGGAGCAATTATATGTAATGACTCATTTACAATTGGTAGGGCAGAAGTAGAAATTAGAAAAAAATCTATCCTAGATTGCAATGACCTGTTTTTATTAGACCATGTAAATTCTGTTTTGTTTGGATTAAAGAAACGCCGGTTTCGCTTTTGTTTGTGGACCAAGCTTTTTGAACAACACGGAATGAGAGATAGGCATACATTTATGCGTGGCTAAATAAAACGCAAAAAAAAAAGTTTTGCATGAAATAATTCTCATACTAAGTACTTTTGCATGCACAGCAGCACAGAAACATGACAAAACAGTGACACAGCAAAGACGAACTGCTGCTCTTGCTGTTTTCAAAAGACGCAAATGAAGATGCAGCTGTTTGTCTGCATTGCATACAACCAGATCCATATCCATGCTGGCACAGAGAACCTAAGGGTGTTCCATATTGAATCTAGTTTCGTTATGTAACTATTTATAGTATAGTAAATATTTATATCTATTTTTTACTGAGGATTTGCACCATGTTTATTTGGACTTTATTTGGACTTTGACACATTATTTATTATTTTCTTATTTTTATTTGTTCATTGTAAGTGGTGTTGTTTATAGTAACTAAAATATATTATATGGAAAGTCAAATTTGCTTCACTGTTCTATTATTTTGTAACATTTGTAACATACCGTATACCGCAAAACCGTCAAACCGTGGTATTGTTTTAGACGATTATCATACCGTGAAAAATTCATACCGTTACAACCCTATTACCAATTATTTATTTAATCATTTATAATCATTAGTCATTTATTACTTAACATGTTATGATGTACCTTTTTTAAATTTCCTACAAATAGTATGTGAAGTATATTCATTTTATGCATGTACACTCACCGGCCACTTTATTAGGTACACCTTACTAGTATGGGGTTGGACCTTCTTTTGCCTTCAGATTTTTCTAGTCATCCACCATTTTGTGGCTCAAAAGTATCGGTTCAGGCACAGGTACCATTTTAAAAGTATCCAAATAACCACAAACGACAACCAAGCCTAACAATTACGCTATTGATTTTCATTGATTTAGTTACAGAATGCATTTAGAAAAAAACAGTACAGTAAGGTTGTCCTGATTTTACCTCATATTGTGTGACACACAGAAGGGTATTTTCCGAGGCCTGTGATTGTTTGACCTTCCTTTAGCACCTAAACACACACACACACACACACACACACACAAACACGAGAGAAAGAGAGAGAGCAGAAATCATGGTAGTTAAACACAGTGCACTTTTACTGCAGCTTCTGTAAATACTGCGCCTGCTGTGCACCTAGAAAATCCATCTAGCTTTAGAGTGCTGGGATAAATCTCACACACACATCATGAACTGAAAAGGACCTAGTAATTTTAAGCTTAACAAGAAAAAAATACATAAAATTTTAAGCTTAACAAGAAAAAAATACATTAAAAAAAATCTAACATCAAATTGAGATCTCAAAATGTAAAATGATTTATGTTAATAAAAATGTCCTTCCAGTCTTCATGAAGCCTATCATTCCCTGCCCTGCGTCTTTTTCAATCAATAAAATAGACATTGCTCAGCAAATTTAGTTGTGATGTCTGATTTGTTTTTCTTTTTACAGGTTATTTTGTTTCTTGAAAATGTTTACTAGGCCTATACTAAAACTACACTTATATGGGTCAAGTGAATGACAATTGTTTACATGCTATTCTGCACTCTAAAAAATGTTGGATTGTTGCAACCCAATGCTGGGTCAAGTAGGGAGAGTAAGAATGTCGAGTTGAATTGAAATTTTACCCCATTTTCAAGATTTAAGATAAGCCTTTTGTGTCTCCAGAATGTGTTTGTAAAGTTTCACCTCAAAATCCCCATCAGACTATTTACTATACCTTTCAGAATGTTAGAATTTTCTGCTCTAAATACAATTTAGCTGTTTTTGTTGGCTTTCATGTTAGTTCTTCCCAAGTTCCCATGTGCCTGTCAGAGTGTGCCTCAATCTCTGCCTCGGCTGCGTCAGATAAACAGCACACTGACAAGACATGAAGCAAAAAGATCTCATGTAATGTTTGTGAGAAATACTACATCAAGATCTTTCCCAATGATTAGTTTATGTATTTGTAGTGGAGCTAATTCAAGCCTTTCTGCAATGATGAGTCACACACAATGTCGTTACAAAGTTCATGCACACACACACACACACACACACACACACACACACATTGTGCTTGTTTAACTTTGTGCTGTTTTAGCACGCAATATACTAAAACAATAACCACTGCTATATCGATTTGCGTTATGTTGGTGTACAAAATAAACCTGATGTAGCATCCACAAACCAGGATTGAAGCGTATTTTATAATTATGCGGCTGTGGTGATGAAGACGGTAAAAATCGCTGCAATTAATTGCAAACATGCACTGTTTAGAAACATTTTATACTAATGAAACTCAGTCTTGATCACATTTGATGATGACTGATGATCACAGAGAGCTGAACAGATCTTTTAATCCCAGCTGCTTTGTGCACGTTCGGTCTTGTTGATATAATAATACTCAATACCACGGAGACATGTTAATACTCGGCTGTCAATCAATTCGGTGGGCGGGGAAACCACTCCTACATCACGTTGCAGTGGGGCTCAAAATGGAAGGGATTTGGATCAGATTTTAACATCACCCCAATATAACATCACCCCAATATGACTGTGGACACACTATACTGACACACAGTTCTGTCTAAAAAGCTGACAAAAGATGATTTTCATCATAGGAGCCCTTTAAATGAAACACCAATGGTTGTATCAATTCAAATAAAAAAAGTCAATGTCAATTTTAAGGGATAGTAGACACAAATGAAATTATATTTACTATTTACTCTCCCTCAAGTGGTTACAAAACTGAGTTTATCCTGTTGAACAAAAAAGCAGGTATTTTTGAAGAATACAGAAAACCATCGACACCTCTAAAGTAGAAAAAATAAATAAATCAATTGTTTGCAGCACTTCAAAACACCTTGTGTGTTTAACAAAAGCAAGAAACTAATAAAGGTCTGAAGCAAGTAAAAGCTGAGTAAATGACTTGAGACTTCAGTTTTGGGTAAACTACCACTTTAAAGTCAATCTAAAACTGTAACAACACCATTTGTTGCCACCTTTAAAATAGCATTTATGATGGTACATGTATATATACAGGTGAAGTCAGATTTATTAGCCCCCTTTGAATTGTATTCTTTTTTTTTTTTTTATATTTCCCAATTGATGTTTAACAGAGCAAGGAAATTTTCACAGTATGTCAGATAATATTTTTTCTTCTGGAGAAAGTCTTTTTTGGTTTTTTTTCCGGCTAGAATAAAAAGTATTTTTTAATTTTTAAACACTATTTTAAGGACAAAATTAATAGCCCTATTAAGCTATGTTTTTTTAATAGTCTATAGAGCAAATCGTCATTATACAAGAACTTGCCTAATTACCCGAACCTGCTTAGTTAACCTAATTACACCTTTAAATGTCACTTTAAGCTATATAGAAGTGTCTTGAAAAATATCAAGTCAAATATTATTTACTGTCATCATGGCAAAGATAAAAGAAATCAGTTATTAGAGATGAGTTATTAAAATTATTATGTTTAGAAATGTGTTGAGAAAATCTCTCCGTTAAACAGAAAACGGGGAAAAAATAACTAGGGGGGCTAATAATTCAGGGGGCAAATAATTCTGACTTCAACTGTGTAAAGCATCTCATCGAAATGAGAAAAAGATGGAATTTTTGAATAATCTGTTTGCAGCTTTGGGATGGCACGGTGAGGCAGTCTATCTGGCTGGATCTCTGAGCGATAATGGCTAATGAATAGGCAGCACCTGGTTCCTTCATGGAGAGGAGGAGGAGGAGGAGGAGGATGAAGATGATGCCAGAGATGTGAACTCAGCCAAAGCACCAGATCAGACCGCCTGAGTTCCTCACATCCATGGCTTGTGATTCAATTACAATCCTGATCCTGAGGAGCGGCAACTCTTAAATGAACAAAAGAACTTCAGCCAATTCGAATTCTGCAGGAATGACAATAAAGTTACACTTCACTGTAACAAAATCCTGTAAAATTTACAGCATTAGTGGCAATTTTGGTGGCCATTAATACTGTAAAACTGACAAGCGCACTGTAAATCAATCATTAAAACTGTGTTGTTATTCTAAGCATAAAAATAGTACATTTTAACAGTGAAGCAGCTTTACAGATCTTTTAGCAAAAGCGCCCCCTTGTGGATTTTCCCCCTCAGATTTCATGGGTCAATAATAGGCTTTTATTTACTAATCAATGCAGCTAAACCATTAAAACACTTTTAAAGTGATTACTATTACTGCAAAACACGGGAACCTGCAGAAACAGCCAGTCAATATTTAATAAATGTTCGATATATTATATTATATTATATTATATAGACGTTTAAATTATATAAGGATAATCACTTTATATAAACATTACATATGTAAACAGCAGTTGGCAAAATACATGTAAGATACATATATTCATGTGTTATCAATAAGTTTGTAATTAATTAATTAGTGGTGTAATGGATCACAAATCTCACAATTTGGATCACATTATGGATTTTTTTTGTCACAGATCGAAAAATTTTTCCAGCTCAGCCAAAAAGGGCAGGAGACAAATTTGCTTTCCATTTAATACAAAAACAGTACTGAAAGCAACCTTTGGTTTTAACAAACCATCTATCTATCTATCTATCTATCTATCTATCTATCATATATATATATATATATATATATATATATATATATATATATATATACATACATACATATATATACATACATACACATACATACACATACATACACATACATACACATACATACACATACATACACATACATACACATACATACATACATACATACACTGTATATATATACACATACATACATACATATATATATATATATATATATATATATATATATATATATATATATATATATATATATATATATATATATATATATATACATACACACACACACACACACACAAATATATATTATTACTACAATATAATGGAAATGATAATCAATGACAACTGATATTTGTCATATATTACAATGTATTACACCAGTGGTTCTCAAACTGTGGTACGTGTACCACTAGTGGTACCCGGGTTTCCTTCTAGTGGTACGCGGAGGAATCAATATGTCATGTGTACATGCTACATATATCAAAATTTAATAAAAATTACTTGTATATAAATATATAATGCCATATAGCCTATATCCAGGCAACGTTTCCAGGTGTTGATGAGTTGGCTACTATATGTTAATACCTTTAAGTACAGGATTATTTTTCTTTATTCTTTTTTTTTAAGAACAGTAACCTACAATTTTAAACTTTTAAAAGAACATTTTAATATAAATGTTGACGTTTTTAAGAGTTTTTTTTGTTTGTTTGTTTTTTATACAAATAAGCACAGTACAGTGTTAATGTTTAGACTATTTATAATGTTTAAAGTGACTGACAATATTAAATATTCTTAATAGTAGGAATTAATCTGCCACATTATTGAACTGTGCAAAGCTGTAGCTGCTTTACTGGGCCAATTACGCTACTGAATTTCAATACTGCTCTGTATGGTGGTACTTGGAGAGACGATTGTTTTCTGAGGTGGTACTTGATGAAAAAAAGTTTAAGAACCACTGATTGACAACAATGCTCAACAAATTAACTAACTGATAATAATTATATACAGTTGAAGTCAGAACTATTAAATCTTTAGCTTGAAGGGGCTAATAATTTTGACCTTAAAATGGTGTTTAAAAATTAACAACTGCTTTTATTCTAGCCAAAAAAAAAAAAAAAAACAAGACTTTCTCCAGAAGAAAAAATATTATCAGACATACTGTCAAAATTTCCTTGCTCTGTTAAACATTATTTGAGAAACATTAAAAAAAAGAAAGAAAAAATTAAAAGGGGGCTAATAATTCTGACTTAAACTGTATTGTATTTTAAAATATTTATTTACAATTTAATTCATTTATTGAAGTTACAGCTTAACAAGCAATGAAAAAACTTAAATTAGGTTAAATATTCAACATTATAACAAAAAAATACAAAAACAGCAGTCAGATCCAGATCTCAGTGTTTCACACGGCATCACAGCTCTGCTCCACAAAAGCAGTCATTTGGGCTGATGGCACATGGCCAGACCCTTTGAACAGGAGCCAGGTGCATGTTGGGATGCTTTAGACAGGGTGAGAATGACACTTGCTGTGAAAGCAGGCTGCGAAAACCACCAAGACCATGACACCCAAACCAGAGAGCGTGATTTCATCACTGAAATGATGGAGAGGAAATGATCTTAAAAGAGAGCTTTAAAGGTCTTTGAAGAGTGAGTTTTTTTTTAATTCGAGGTTTGCCGTAATCACAACTGAAACACAAAGAGAGAGCGGGACATAGAGTACCCCTCCCCTTTTTAAAAATAGCCACGTTTTGTTGTTTTCACAGCTCTCCTCAAGAGCATTCAACGTAAAGCGTCTTGAAGTGGGCGGGGCATATACTAGAGAGAATTTGATTGGTCAGATGATTTGATGAAAAACTGAAGTATGAGGTGACGTGAAAAAAAACGGTGATACATTTAGGCGGGAGTGACAAACTAAAAGCTTTACATGTTTATATCAGTTTTATATCTTCTAAACGCGAATTGTCACTGTATTGGTGTGCACAACATCCTATAAACCTACAATACTGATACTAACATCTTAAAAAAATAAATAAATAAAAAAAATAAAAATCTATTATTTATACTCATTTTAATTTCATGGGACCTTTAAAGGGCTCATAATTTAGTCATTATTATATGGTTTGAGGTTTTATTTATTCTGAGTTTTTTTCCGGGTTTCCCCCACAGTCCAAAGACGTGGTATAAGAGAATTGGATTAACTAAATTGGCCATAGTGCATGAGTGTGCGGGGGTTTCACAATCCTGGGATGTTTGCTTAAATTCAGCACATATTAATTGTTTGCAGCCATAAAAAAAAAATATATATATATATATATAAATTACTCATTCATTCATTCTTCTTCAATTTAGTCCCTTTATTTATCAGGGGTGTGACCACAAACTTATTGAGCATTTGTTTTACACAGCAGATGCCCTTTCGGCTGTAACCCATCACTGGGGAACACCCATATACTCATTCACAAACATACGGTCAATTTAGCTTATTCAATTCACCTATAGCGCATGTGTTTGGACTGTGGAGGAAACCAGAGCACCCGGAGGAAACCCCCACCAACACAGGGAGAACATGCAAACTCCACACAGAAATGCCAGCTGACCCAGCCGGGGCTCAAACCAGTGACCTTCTTGCTGTGAGGCAACAGTGTTAACCACTGAACCACCATGTTGCCAATGTAGTAAATCAAATTAACAGTGTTAGTGTCCATGTTATTTTTATTAAACAATGTAATATATGAGAATAAAGCCCCATAATGGCTTTTCCAACAGCAAATTCCATTTGTCTTAATTAATTTGGCACCACTTTATCAAGAAGTGACGATATTGTTCTTTTACTCATTGGATGGAAACAGTGCTTTATTCGCAAATGTTTTATGCAATATTCTGGTTTTTGCACATGTTTGGACAGGAACTTTGCTAATGGCTGTTTTTGTCCAGCAATCTTCAGAATATCTTGCTTTGTGTTGATCGAAGAAAGGAAATCCTAAAAGTTTTAAAACATTTAATAATTATTTTGGGTGAACTATCAGTAAGTTTGAACAGGATTTTGATGAAATCCAAACTGCAATTGTAAAGTCATTCAGAAATTAGGCATCAGCACCACCTGGTGGACAATTTAGCTCTGCTGCTGCTCACGTCTGGCCATCTTGACCACTTTAGCTCACAGAATCGCATTTTAAAACAGTGACCCTTTTTGCACAAAAGCCAAATGATTTACTGTTATAATTTTACTTTAATCTGCTTTATTTCAATTATACATTTACATTTTTTTCATATTGCAGCCAAGTTTTCTAAATCCAGCCATAAAAATGTTGTTTAACAGTGTTATATCTACATAAAAATTTGGTCATATATATTTTAATTATACATTTATGTCATCATTTTTAATATATTTAAAAAGAAAAATCTCTTTTGCTTACTTGGACATGTTTTTTAATATACAGTCATTGGCCACTTTATTAGGTACACCTGTCCAACTGCTCGTTAATGCAAATTTCTAATCAGCCAATCACATAGCAGCAACTCAATGCATTTAGGCATGCAGACATGGTCAAGACAATCTGCTGCAGTTCAAACCGAGCATCAGAATGGAGAGGAAAGTGGATTTAAGTGACTTTTAATGTGGCACGGTTGTTGGTGCCAGACGGACTTGTCTGAGCATTTCAGAATCTGCTGATTTACTGGGATTTTCACACAATATCATCCCTAGGGTTTACAGAGAATGGTCTGAAAAAGAGAAAAAATATGCCTTGCATCAACAGTTCAGGTTGGTGGTGGCGGTGTTATGGTGTGGGGGATATTTTTCTGGCAGACTTTGGGTCCATTTGTACCAGTTAAGCATCGTGTCATTACCACAGCCTACCTAAGTATTGTTGCTGACCATGTCCATCCCTTTATGACCACAGTGTACACATCTTCTGATGGCTACTTCCAGGAGGATAACGCACCATGTCAAAGCGCAAATCATCTCAAACTGGTTTCTTGAAGTCAAAGGAAAATGAATGAATAACTTAATGAATATGAAGGGTTTACTCATTTATGTTGAGTGTGTGTGTGTCATATATATTATGTTTTTATTTGCTGTCTACATCACAATTACATTGGACATTTAAGTGTTTTAGTATGCATGCTATTTTTATGTCCAAGGACGAATATTAGGAACATTTGATGGCACATTGTGTAACACAGTTTCCACTCAATTACAGTAATGCTAATCAAAGATGCTGTAAAGTAACATTAACTGAGCTGAAAGATTGTCCAGAAATTGTATCTTGCAAAATCCCCATCTTTGCAACAAGTCAATAGTTCCTTCAATATCTTGTAAAAGAAGACCAATGTTGGAGAAGCAGGCCTGCAGCTCAGGGTTGCAGTCAGAGGTCACTGAAAATAAACTGAAGGATGACAATGCAGGACTGAAGGCTTTACCTTACTGTGGCAAAGAAAAGAGAGATTTCTGATAAACACTGAAGGGC